TGGAGGCAAAAGTAGGTCTTCCCTCAGCATTGTTCACAGTAGCACGTGGCAACACGTACCTTGTACTTGGTGGCCAGTAGCTCCGTGGCCTCCTGTTCCTTACGCAGATCCTCAATCATCTTCTCCTTCTCCTGAAGCAGCTTTTGCTTCTCCTCGCTCACCAGGCTGTGGTCATCCTGGATAGCGGCTTTCTCCTCTTCCAGCCTCTCTTTCTGCTCTTTCAAGTAGCTCTCCATGTTCTTCTCCAGGCCATCCTCGTTGTCATCCTCCCCTTCGTTCTCCGCAGCACTTTCTCCATCCATCGCCTTCTTCTTCCGACTGCTCCTTCTCCTCTTCTTCCCCAACATGCCACGTTTCTCCAGCTGGGCTTTCAGCCGGACAATCTCCTCCTGAAACTCCCTCAGTAAGGTGTCCTTGGGGTCCTCGTTCACCCGGGGCTTGTTTTTGATGTTCTTGGCCCTGTTGGCAAACCTGAGGGTGGAGAGGCTCTCGTCATAGCTGTGAGAGGCTGGGCCCAAGGTGGCCACCATGATTGTCTTGGCGTTGCCTCCAAGGGAGTCCTGCAGCAGGCGGGTCAGTTTGGAGTCCCGGTAGGGGATATGCGTGCTCCTGCCATCCACAAGGGCAGAGATGACGTTGCCCAGGGCAGAGAGGGAGAGGTTGATCTTGGATGCTTCTTTGGGGCGCTCTCCGTGGGCCCCCATTTTGCTCTGGCGCTCGCTGCCAGCCAGGTCCACCAGGTTGAGCTTGCCCACACGGATGTGCTCCTCACCATCTGGCCCCGTCTCGCTGCACTCGATGGTGATGAGGAAGATAGCGTGGGAGCGGGAGCTGTGCTCGTTCATGTTGGTGCTACCCACTGACCGTGTCTGGCTCCCCAGGTTCATCACATGCTCAATCTCCTTCACATTCTTCGTGACGAAGGAGGAGAGGTCCTTGATGTACACCCCTGTCTCAGGGTTCTCCTTCAGCTCCAGCTTCTTGCTCTGGTCCTTGGCAAGGAGGTCCCTGATCTCCTCCTGGTAGA